GCCCAGCCCAGCCCGGGGCTCCCCCTGAATCTATTCGCTGGAAGCTCTCGGCTCCCCGCCCGCCCCGGAGCAGCCTCTATATATCTCGTCTCATCTCTCCGGCCCGCCTCTTTCCTGACGTACATGTCCAAATATGGAAGGCAGGAAGCCCTTATATGGTGGCAGGCGAGAGGACCCAGCCTGGCGTCAGAGCTCGACACCGGGGGAAGCCGAGCGGTGCGGCAGGGGAGGGGGAACGCGCGAGCTTCCCGCTAGCGACCTGGGGCCCTTTTTGGCTCCCGCGGCGCCCGTCCCTTGGCGCGAGCCCCTGCGCCCTGGTCTTCGCTGCTTCCCTTGAGAGGCCCCCCTCCTCCTTGCAGCTTCAGCCGCGGCTGCCGGAAGCCCCCGGACACTGAGGCCATATATGGCAAAGCCCTTATAAGTCCTTGTTCCGGCCGGAGCCTTCCTGCTCCTTATTAGGCAATTCCGGCAGAGGCGGGAGGGAGAGCGACGAGGAGAGTCCGGCTGGGAGGGGGAGGAGGAGGAGGAGCGCTCGGTCTCCGGCAGAGCCAGAAGCTGCAGAAACGCCCCTCCCGCCCTCCGCCGCCGAGAGCTACTATTTAAACCTGCCAGGCCCAGGCGAGGAGCTTCTACTCTAATCTGGGCCGGCAGGGGGCGCGCGGCGGGGTAAACACCAGGCAGGGCGGTGCTAGTGCCGCGGGGCGAGTGTCCCAAATAAACAGAGCCCGCTCCGCAGAGCGCCAGGAGGCTCCGGCGAAACGGCTTCCCAGGTTCGGGACGCCCGCAGAAGCCCGATCGGATATACTTTAGACGCCTCACGCAGGGCGGTCGGAGGCGAATTTCCGGTTTCCTTTTCAGTGCAGCTTCCAGAAGACTTTTAATGGCTCTGCTAACGCGGAGTTCCCAGATCTTGCTTTGGTACATGCAGTGAAGGCGACGTGGCGCCCTCGAGGCGCTTCCCCACCCCCGCCACTCCGCAGGCGGCTTCTTGCCTTTGGGAACCCTTCCCTTTTGCCTTCCTCTTAACTGTCTTTCACGGTGGCATATACAGTATATGTCGCTGGCGATTCTTTGTAGCGCGATTGTGGCTCCCGAGGTGCCCCATACGGGCACCGGGTGGCCGAGGCAACAACAGCCACCTGAAAGACCATCTTGCCTGATGGGGAGGCCAAAGCCACTTTGCAGAAATCCGCGTCCGTTTTCACCTCACTCGCTAATAATCCCTTCGGTTGAAGAGGCCGATGTCCCTTGATTCTCTTTGCTCTTTTCCCACCCCGCCACTCTTATGCTGAATGTAAACACCTCATGTCCCGGTTCCGAATCGAGGCCGCAAGACCGTGCGATCTTTACGTATTTGGAAGCTCAACAGCGAATCGTGCGCCCTGCGTGGGAGTGGGAGGCTGAGGGAGGGGAGGGAAAGCAAAGCAAAGCAGGCGGCGTGCCAGCGCCGAGCGCTCCGAGCGCGCACACTGCAGAAGGCTGCAGAGGCATCGCGTCAAAGGGAATTTCCTGATGATGCGAAATGCAGGGAATCTCGGGGAGTTGCGAAGCAGGCGGCTGGATGCTGCCCCCTGGTGCCCAGGGGCTGCCGCGACCAAGCGTAGCCCTTGCAGCTGGCTGGCCTTGCAGCTAGACCAGCAGGTCGGCAGCGGCGGCGGCGGCGGCGGCGGCAGCAGGAGCGATCCGCTCTGTTTCCCAGGGCAGTCGCGGTTCTTCAGTTGCAAGGAGAGGCCCTTGCCGCAGAGGATTTAAATGGGGGGCGGGGGGGGTTGTTTTCTCTCTTGGCCCCGC